TGTAGACATGTAAAAATATGTGTATATATGTACGGTGTATATCTTTTTATGATATGAAGTCATCGTATAATATCATAAACTATAAAAAATAAGAAAATAAATATCCCATAAAAAATTATAGTTGATTTAATAATATTTTAATTTAGTTTAATTGAAAATTCAAGTATTGTTTAGTTTAGTTTTCAAAATTGGAAACGGATACGGATATATCCGATATCCGACCGATATCCGACGGATGCGGATACGGTTATGATTTTTCAATATCCGTCAAGATCCGTATCCGAATTCGATATCCGACAAAAGTAAACGGATACGGATTTGGTAATAGCACATCCGATCCGATTAAAATCCGTTTACACCCCTAAATAACTCCATAAAAACGAGTAAAAATGGAACAAGTAAACCACCGAACAAAAATGCGGAAGGGAAGGAGTTGTTAAGCAAACTACTGCGTCGTCACATCTATCTATAACTGGATTTGGAGAAGAAGTGTCTTCTCCAAGCTGAGCTGATCCGCCATATTCGAGACTCCTTCACGTCTCTCTCTCTCTCTCTAGACTGACATGCCAAACACCGTGAGCTGAAAGAAGAAGAAGAAGACGACAGCGGTCTGCGGCGGGCGTTCGCAAAAGCAAGTCATGTCGGCTCTTTAATCTCCCCCCCCTCCATCTGTACGAGAATCGCCTTTTCCCCCCCTTCTTTGAATGCTTTTGATTTCATCTTTTTTCTCAGATCGATCAACGCGATTCGCGATTCGATTTGTCTCTGGTTAGCTGCTATTCCATCTCCTGTCGTTTTTTCCTTCTGGAATTCTCGAAATAGAGGTTAATTCGCCGATTTCCGGTAAATGCGGCGCTGTTTTTCCATCTTTGATCCGCCTGGTTCTTCGCGAAATCGTCAAAAGATTCTACCTTGTAGAGCGTTTCTGTTTCATCCTTTTCGTTTTTGAAATTCGTATGAGGAAAGGAGATGGAATTCGTTCTTCGGTGTTTTTTTGTTTTATGATTTGTTGCTGTGGATTTTGTTTAAGCTTTTGATCTGTGACAGGTTTTGGATTCACGGAGCCGGGCTTGTATTGATGAAATTTGAGAATTAGGTGTGTTCTTAGTAATTTGATTACCTAAACATTTTGTTTGGTTAGTGTTAGTTTAAATTTAGAGTTGTTGGATCAATATATAGAGAGGGGAACTAATCATGCAACTTTTATTTAAATGTTTTGTTATAGCTACTTGTCCATTATAGTAATCATTTCTCTTTTAATACTATAGGGTTACAAGAATTTATATTTTGCAGAGGCAATCTGCTCTTTCATCTTTTCAACTCAAGATGAGCGGGAGCCCTCACGAGGGATTTGAATTCCGGAGCTCTACAATGCCGTACAGTTCAATAGGAAGTTTCATGGATTTCTTTGGAGCCATGGCATATGACCACATGAACTATATCTTTGCTGATGATACTACATATGCTCCGGTGAGTGATCTGTTCGTTTGTTTATACTACTCCATACAAGTGTGCCACTGTACTAGAGATTTCAAGTGCCTACCATTTTTGCGCCCTTTGTGTTTTTCATCACTTGGCCATGTGGTGTGATGAGAACGATCGATCAATCGGGAACATATGGTTGGAAATTGGAATCCATTTAAGGCATTGTCTTTTCGGTTTAATTTTAAGTCGAGACGTCGGGAATCTGGAGTAAATATAATACTTCATATAAAAGTAAATCAAATTTTAACTGGAAACTGAAACCGATAACTGTAACCTGGTACTGGAGTCTAGATAATTGGAATAAAATGTTAAAAAGAGAATGACATCATTGGTCTCATTTTTCTTCCTACTCGTAGACAATCAATGTGTCATACTCAACACACCTCTTCAATCTAAACCAGGCTAGGGGCAAAGGCATTGCCCGCTTGCCCCTATGATGGGTGGTTGCCCGACAAACCATTGTTGCACAGGCTTTGATCTGTTGCCATCTTTAACTAGCTTCACCTCACACTTAAATGCTTATACTCAAACTAAGTAGCTCTTACTGCAACATCTTTCTATTACGGAGTATTATCTTTTATGGTGGGAGTGTTCTTCTCATAGAGAGTTTAAGATCGGGAAGGACTGTCTAATATGCATCTGTCGTTGCTTCTGCCTCTTTCAGGAGACTGTTTACCCGGCCGTTTATACCAATCAATACAAATTTGGATTCTCTGAAACTGAGAATTCTTGTTATTATCATGATTATGGCAATGCCCATGTTTTGAACAATCAAATATCTGGAAATGAGGGACAAGATAGCCATTTAGAGAATCCTTCGTCAAGAGTTGCTGAAACTGAGACTGCAGCACCGGCAGATATGCATCATCAGGAAAATACGAATGCAGATTCCATGGAATGTAAGTTCTATTTTCCTCATTTCTTGTAACTTGTTACTTTTTCCTTGTGAATATTTTGGGCTTGTTTGGATCCTGAAACTTCTAGGGAAAAAGGGGGAAACTGTTCTGTTATGTTCCTATGTTTGCTTTTACTTTGGAAACACAAGGAAAATAAATTATGACTTTATGATTAGTTTTCTTTCCTTTAAATTTTTATATGATATGGAGTAGAAAACAAAAAATGAATGAGTATCAACATATATATACCCTGCTTAGAATACATTTATTGAGTTTTAGTCAATTATTTATTCTCTACCACATGTTCTCTAGCTTAAAATTTCCTACATAGTTTCCATCCTTGTACTTTTTGACCCTTAGAAAAATGCGGATTTTATGATACCTTCTCTAAAGATTTCCCCATCCAATCTAGCAGGTCCACGAGGTCATCATAGTACTCATGTCAATGAGGTATGAAGAATCTTTTAAAATGCTTATGTTCAGCTCTTCTATCTTTGGTTATCCAAAATGTGCAATACGAGATGCAGGTTTGCTAGAACTGGTTTGTTAAATTCATCCTCTTACGAGTTAGTGCAGGTCGTTTGGCAAGACAATGTTGATCCCGACAACATGACTTATGAGGTCTGCCATCTAAATTGGTTTTCACATGCATGTGAATTTGTAGAATATGACTATTACTCCGTATTTAAGGCTATGTTTGGAACTTTTAATACAATTTATTTTTGAATCATCTTGGGATTGACTCATAGGAATTGCTTGAATTGGGTGAGGCTGTCGGAACTCAAAGCCGAGGACTTTCTTATGACCAAATCTCTTTGCTTCCCGTCTCCAAGTTTAAGCTCAAGTTTGGCCAATTCTTTAGGAAGAAGTCAAGAAATGAAAGGTAAGATCTTTCATGTTGGCATATTTAGTTCTTTGGTTTTAGGTGTGATTCTTTAATCCTTTGTTTGGTTGCGTCTGCAGGTGTGTGATATGCCAGATGGAATACAAGAGAGGCGATAGACAAATCACTCTTCCATGCAAACACGCCTATCACAAATCTTGCGGCAGCAGATGGCTCAGCATCAACAAAGTAACTCAACCGAACCTAAAAATAATTTGTACCGCTCAATTGCACGAATGCTCTCCAAGATTACATAACTATCATCAAATCTCTTAGAAATTCAATAATTTTACTTACAATAATACTCCAAGATTGCATATTGTTCACAGATATGCTTCTCTTCATTGGTAAATAATAAGCGTTTTGTAACTCTAACAGGCGTGTCCCATTTGTAACTCGGACGTGGTGGTGGTGGTGACCAATGCATCCAAGCACTAAAAGGTCTTTTACTTCTTTTGTTTTTTGTTTTGTTTTATATACATAGGGAAAATGGAGTGCATTTTGTTTCTTTTTTTTTCTTCCCCTTTTTTCCTCTTTAAACTTACAATAGTGGGCTCTACTTTACTTTTTCTGTTACTCTACATAATTTTCCTTCATTGTTAACAGTTCGTGTTAACAACGTATGAAGTACTCTATTAACATTGTCCATGTTAGAATATATGGAGGAGTGTGTTATCAAAAGTAGTTATAGTTTTGGGTTTGGAGGTTCCAAATCTTCTAATGATGTTTTACTTGTAACTCTTGTTGGTAGAGCTTAGTTGTAAGCTCTCTCTCTCTCTCTCTTAGTCCCATAAAAAAAATCTTTGTTTGATTTTGACGTAGGTTAAAAAGATGTGCTTGAAAGTGAAAAATTTATGGTTAAAATTTGTTTAAATGAAGGAAAAGTAGTGTGACTCGTTATTAAAAAAAAGAAAAAGAAGTTTTTTTTAGATGGAAAAAAAATAATATAATATGTCTACTTGAAGTAGACATATTATATGGTTAGCAAAACCACTGGACTCAAATACACCCAAGGACCTCGCCGAGATAAACACAATGCTAACTAAATAAAAGTTTTGTGTTTAATAAGCATAAATGAGTGTTCATTATGTCAACAATTATTCACCCTAAATAAAACTTAAATGCTAAGTAACTAGAAAGTGATTGTACATTAAGACCGTGTTTTTTCCCCTGATCTGAATAGTTTTGATCCGATTAGAATAAGTTCTGATCTAATCTGAATGTAGATATATTTAAAGTTATTTCTAATATGATCTTGTTTGATCTGATCTGATTCTAAAAAGAAAAAGTAGTAAGTAATAAAAATAAATTAAAGAGAACATTACTTAAGTTACAACAAATGTATAATATTCTTGTTACGATTGTGCACTTGAATCTCGACATACTCCATATTTAATATTACTCTGTATACCCTTAACGCCGAGTATGTCCAAACCAAACCAAACCAATGTGCCAAGTTAAGAATAGGTTATACTTAGTACATTATTTTACTCCTTCATTGTGGTCCTTGCCTTTCAACAACAACAACCCAGTTAAATCCCACAAAAATAAAATGTGGTCCTTGCCTTTCATAGATATATATATTTTTATTATCAAATTTAATATTTTTCGACTATTGAGTGATTCACACTTTCACATTTCTATTTTATCGAACTTTTGGTGCACAAATATCACTTTTTTTCCCCACTTTTTGTCAGAATTTATACTTGTGCTTTTTGGAAAGATAAAAAGGGAAGAGGGGATGGGTTTTCAAGTGGGATTGGACTATTATCACATAAGAATACTTCACATTCAAGTCTCCAGTGTGCTAATTCCATGCCACTACACACTTGTCATTGGTTACAATAAATCCATATCAAATTGCTTGGAGTATCAAATGAAAGATTTGAAGATCACACAGCCTTTTCACAACATTTGCATAAATTCCCACTATGAACACGAGCACGAGAAGTTGTTCAATCCGAGTTACTGCCAGCCTGTAGGCGGGACTCAAATAAGAGCCTTACCGTGGTGAAGATGAGAGAGGGTTCGGCCATGGCTCCGTTCCCATAATCTCCACACGCGAGCCTCTTTGACACCGGAGGGATGAGAGAAATGCCAAACTCGTCAAGTGCCATGAGATGTCGTTCGGTGAATGGATTGGTCCACATGAATGTGTTCATGGCTGGCGCAACAAAAAGCGGTTTGCTGTAGTCCCATGCCCGCACTATGCATGTCAACAGGTTATCACACAATCCACCAGCAATCTGCAACATAATGCAGATGAAAATGTCACTTCGTAACCCATCTTTGTTGTTACACAAAAATCACGCGACATCAGAAGAGAATAAAGCTTAGGCCGCACTTTGTTGCGGGAAAATAAGTTGTTGAGGATAATATTTTTGTTGCAAGAAAAAGAAAAATCATGTTTCATCAAAAGAAGCTATAGTATGTATGAAACTTGATGAATTTTTCAACAAAAAAAAGTTGCAAACAAGTTAAGTATTAAATAATACAGTATTTGTTTAGAAAAAATGCTAAGATCTTTGAACTTTTGCTGGATTGATAATTATTACGGAGTACAAGAGTTGTTCAAGTACCTTGCCAAGACTAAAAAGTTGTTCATCAATGAAACATGACTCTTTTTTGGGGCGGCGCATGGAGTAAATGTGTAACCCCCAAGAATAGAAAACATAAAACTGTTTCAGGAATTGCTTTTTCAAGTGGAACCTTGATATTACCTTGGCAAGTGTGTTTGCTGACAAAGGAGCAATAACCATGATATCAGCCCACCGGCGAAGCTCAATGTGTAGCACACTATCACCTATCCTCTGCCATCCAGACCATTCGTCCTCATCAGTGTATAGAGCAACATTCTTTGGAAGAGAAGGTTTGTCTATGAAGTGCAGGGACGACTTCGTAGCAACAGCTTTAACTTCTGCCCATTCAGAAAAGCAATGGCATAGATTTGAAAATTTGATAGCAGCAACACTTCCACTAGCGGCAAGTAATATTCGAGGCTTCCTGGCAACAGTGTTGGCTGAAGATTGTTCCATATCTAAATCTACGGCATCCAGGTGTGCCATACCCTATCAAATTCCAACTACGTTTAAGATTTAGGCCAAACACAGTTTTTAGTCCCCCCACAAAATAAAAAATCATCCTTGCAAATTTGAGTCGTTTTCTTTTTAGTCTCTCTGTAAAACCCTTTTTAAAAAACAGATGTGGCTCAGACATCTTCATCTGGACTTTTATTTAGACACCATTCCCATTTCAATAATTTATTGAAACCAAGGAAGGGATAACTAAATGAAACTCATCATTCCCATTTTCAATTCACACCTGTCTAGAAATGAAGTATTAAGCATTTTGAAAAATATAACATGCATGAAGTTCTGTGAGCCACATAAGCTTTTTTGAAAAAACCGAGGTAGATGGGACACAAGAAACCGATGTAGATTACAGCACCGGACCTCTACACTGCATTCAAGATCTTGAGGCTCTTGCTTGCAAAGAAACATTGTCGTAAATGAAGGTTTGAGGTTTTCAAATGAGTGATTTGAAGAAGATTGAACAACTAGCTTATGTTCTAGCCAAGGGTGTTCTCTAACAATCTGGTCCTCTTTGTTGGATTGACTCCCCTCCAATTTGTACTCTTGATCTGATTATCTAAAGATACCCTAACCTTTGATTTCACATGGAAAAAAAGAGATATACTCCATCCATTTCAAAATAAACTTTAGTGTTTGACTTCATGAAGTTTAAGAAAAGTACTGAGAAGTGAAAAACGAGAAGTGTGCGATTGAAATTTGTTTAGGATGAGAAAGATTATCAACCACACATTCCATTCCTTAAAAGAAAATGAGAGAAGTGTGAAGTTTATTTTGGGACAACCAAAAAGGAAAGTGTGATGTTTATTTTCGGGACGGATGGAGTATATCACAAGACCGAGGACAAATTCACAATTCCTAGTAATCAAGAATCTTGACATAAACTTCCTCCTAGCAATTGAAATGTGTGTCTTGAAAACCCCATGAGGCCATGGCTTTGCGAATAAGGGTTTTAGTACAAGACTTGACACCTTCATGGAGAGACAGATCTAGAGCTTCTTCTCTAAGATCTTAAAGCAACTTCATCCATCATCTACAAGAACTAAAAGAACTAAAGCAACTTCTCTAAGATGCTAAGCTATTTTAAATCTTATATGCTATCCTTAACATCCTTCTGCGACTGAAGGATAATATCATAACTCATCCTTATCGCATTGTAGTTCCTCATCAACACGAGAAGACAATTGAATGGAATTCAAATTGATTTCATAACTCTGTTATCATGAGAATTGAGATGCAATTAATTTCATTTTAAATCATAAAATACTGTATAGAATACTCCCTATCCGAAAGACATACCCCAAATTGGGAAATACCTCAAAGTAGGCGAACTGGTCGCCGGAGAAAGGAGGAGGCCGGAGACGCGATCTGACGAGATTAGCGGAGAAGCGGCAGCAGCACGCAAAACGGCCGCCGGTGCCGAAGCAGAAGGGCGGGCGAATTCCTCGCCGTCAGCGACGCCGGACGTACGAATCTTCCCCCAAGAAGACGGTTACAGTTGCAAGAAGAAGCTCCGGCGGAGCGGGAAACAGGCCAAATTGGGAAAATTAAAGCGATGCAGTTTTAGGACTTTTATAAGTCCGTCCACAAAGTAAAGCTTGGTCATCGTTTTCAGTAAAGCTGTTACACCCGGACCGGCCAGAGAACACCGATCGGCATAAACCCGAGTTTTTCCGTTTTTTATGTACAGAGGCCTGGACCAATTATGATAAGGACATGCTCGGGACCGGACCGGAAAAAATCCGCGGATCGAACAAGTGTGATTTTTTATTTTTTTAAATTTGATTTAAAAAAACAAATTTGATTTTATTTATTTAATTTAGAGTGTCCAATTGCAAAAAGTATTACTACAATGAATTTTTAATGGGTAACATACATTATTATTTTTAATTTTTAACAAGCTTTAATTAAATACATCTTCTATCCGTCTTATAGAAAACAGGTTTGTAATTTTTGTTTTGCATAGTATTCCTCTTATTGCATTTTTACTTTTTTTTGTAATTTTTTGCGTATTCAGTTTGTTTTGATAAACATATACTCCGTAGTTTTTTATACTGTACTATTTTTGTTTGAGAGATTTTTTACAACGTTCATTTTTTGTTTATTAGAGTTTCATTATTGATAAAGTACAAACTTAAATTATAGTATTGCTACATAATTTTAAATGCATTTGATGCTAATATAAAAGTAAGGTTTATTTTTTTTACACTTTTCATATTAAAAAGTCTTAGTTCTTATTTTGAATTGGACTATTTTAAAAACATTATGTTAAAAAATAAAAATATTACATTTGAAATAAAGTTTAGTATAATTTTAAGTATAAGAAAAAACTTGAAAACTATATTGTAACATTATATAAAAAAATTTAAAAATAATTTTAACCGGTCCACCAGTCAGATGAACCGCAAAGACCGAATAAGAAAAAAGTGAGAACCGATGACCGGATCGAACCGAATAATGCAACGGTTCCTTTGCCATTGATTTTTTGAAACATCTACGAGATCCGTTCATAAAATTTATAGTTCTTACTTTCCCCAATTTCTTTAAATTCTCACCTAGCCCCATTTTTGCTCTCCTCGAGTTTAAGAATGGGTGTTTAAGGGGCAGTGGTTGGAGCCTAGATGAATTTCATGAGGCACAAATTCATTCAAAAGTAACACAAAAATCTCATAATAGTAATAACCTTAATAAAACTAACATACCCTTTATAAGTTTTATTTGTGCAATACGTAAACATATAAACGTTTTTTAATTGTCTTCCTCATCTCATCTGTCAGCTTCTGTAATGCAAAAATGTTGGGGGCACATCCGGCGTACCATCAAATCAGGGGTGCACTAACAAGTCCTTCGCCAGAAATCACTGGGAGTACTTGTCCAGGCAGCCCTCGCTTTCTCCGCCTTGTTAAGGGGTTAGGAGGTAAAAACTTTCAAATTTACTAACCAAACACCATAGTTTTATTAGGAAGATAAATGAAAAGATTAATAAGGAGTGAATCAGGTAAGAAAAATGTTTGGATCACAAACAAAGCGATCATAAATATCACAAATTTATTATTTGTGAATTAAATTTAAAGAATAAAATAGTTTAAAATAATTTAAATAATAAGAACTGATATAAAATCGTAAGTTTGTGAGATAGAAATGGTAGATTTTAATAATAAAGAAACTAATATAGAAATGGTAAGTTTAAATAATAAAAACTAACAATTTCAATAACTTAATTTACTTGAAATATTCTTCTCAATAAATATGATACAAGTATTCAATGGTGGCTCATTTCAAAATAAATACTACGTTATTCATAAATGAATATTATAATTATATTAAATAAATGTGTGAAGATGAGTATTATGTTATTTCAAAATGAATACTACGTTAGGGTTGAGCATGAAATGTGACAGTTCGGATTTCATATTATCCCGCGTCTTGTCTCGTTATATTCAAACGGTTCGGACCACAAGTCTATCCCATTTTATCCCATAATTTTCAAAACTGGGACAAAATAGAACGGATTCGGATTGTCCTACTTTGTCCTTTTCGAAGCTAGAGATAAAATTATACATAAGGATGGAGAGGAAAACCGATATTTAGACTTACAAAAAAATTATAAAAATTAAAAAAATAGAGTATATAATAAGAATGTCTTACAACAACGTATATAATAAGGCAATATACAAATATTGAAAATGCAATTTATTAAAAGGAAGTATCGCACAACTAACAAAGGAAGAATGCTAGGTTTGAGTCAATTACTAATATAGGATTGACTACTCAAGATTACTCAGTATATAGTTTCGATCAAACATAAAAATATCAAGATATTAACTATATATATATATATATGTATATATGTATGTGTGTCTATATATATATATATATATATATATATATATATATATATATAACCATATTATAAAAGTATATAAATCAGAACAAACCGGACGGAATGATACACTTTTATGTTGTTTCGGTGATGTCCCATTTAGAATTGAGACGGAACCTGGTCGGGACAAAAAAAAATGAATCCCAAATAAAACGGTACAATTTCATGACGGTTCCGCAATGTTTCAGAACGAGACAACGAGAACATGTTTTATGCCCACTCCTATATTACGTTATTTCAGAGTGAGTATTACTTGAATTCAAATGAACACCTATATTTTATGCGAGAATGAACATTACTTACTTTATAATAAGTACTGTCCAGATGTACGTTACTTCTAGTATAGCCGATTGTACGGACGGACAATAAGTTGATTTTCAAAACAATCATGTTTGGGATACACTAAAAAGTGTACCTCAAGTTGTACCCTAAAAGGATGCATTGGTATTTTAACAGTTCACACTCTTAGTTTGATAAAAAAATTTGCACTCCCTAGAAATAACTTAAATCTTTTCAAATTGTAAGTCAAATACCCTGCCTTTTTTATACACGGGGAACTCTCCGCCCGACCTCGCCACTCCGCTTGCCGGCGACGTCAAGGAGCGTAAACCACACTGCCCAGCAGACAGCGCGTTTCTGCGGCTCAGCCCTCCCGCTCCGCCTGCGCCCCTCCGGTCTCTAGGTAAGAAGACGATTCCCGTTTATTAATTAACCCAATTATCATGTATTCTAAAAAATATAATCAGTCAACTGCAGAGTAAGTAATTATTCCTTTTTTTTTCATTAGAAAAAATTGTGGTAAAAATAATTCTCCCAAAATTGTGTGAATTTTCAGCTAGGAAGCTTGTAAGTTCGAAGAATTTGTGTGAATTAGAAGCATTTATGCAATTTAAGAGGAATTCATGTAAATTGAAATCAGAAAAATGATGCCTGTTTTGAATTTGATTACGTGGATCAATGAATGATGCTGGAAATGTTATAAAGATGAAAGCATATCTGAAATTTTGAAGTTTTGACTATAATTTTATTACATATTTTTTTGAGTATATCAAATATATGAATGTCATATATAAAATACTCCGTATAAATTTTATAAGTTTTTGACTATGATAAGGAAATGCATTAGTAAGTTAATAGGGACCAGTCTAACTTTTTTTTCTTGATGAGGTAACAAATTGGATTAGAAGAGGAGGCTCCGGTACACGGAATTCATACTATGGAATTGGAATTTGGAATTAAGGACAACATTTTCAATTCTGTTGTTTGGGAGCACAAAAATATGTGGATTTGGAATTGGTAGTGCTAAAAATAAATTGGAATTGGAGAGTTCAATTCCACTCAAATGAAATCCATAGAATTTCAATTTCCAATTCCATCAATTCTGTGTACCAAACGAATGCTAAATGTAATTGAAATTGAGCAAAGTGATATCAAAAGATCAAATAGGTTGAGTTGATAGGCAAAAAAAGAGATTGAAGGACTCATCTATCATTCTTGCAATGCAAAAACTCATCATCTGGTTATCCATTTTTCAAGGCAAAAACCATTCTGTATTTCAATCTATCATTCTTGAGAACTGGAGGTTGTAGGGCATGCTCTTCTCTTCCTCATTGTGTCTGAAGCTCCCACCTCCCGACTCCGGCGTCCTCTGCCGCGCTCCTTCTACAATTAATCACCTCTTATATTCTTCAACAACCTCAACTCCTTCCAGATTCTCCCAACTCCTGAAACGATGCAAGTCTTGTGTCAAGGCCAAGTTCATTGTTTCCGGCGCCGCCGATCGGGAAACCGCCCGCTCACAGCTGGTTTTCTGGTGGAACAATCTGATCAAGCGATGCGTCTTCCTTCGCTTTTACGACCATGCTGTTTCCCTGTTCCGCGAGATGGTGAGGCTGCAGTGGGCCCCAGATGGGTACACTCTCCCTTACGTGCTCAAGGCTTGTGGGGAGCTTTCCTCCTTACGTATTGGAGAGTCTGTCCACGCTTTCTGCTTGGTGACTGGGAATGACAACAATGTCTACGTTTGCAACAGTGCCATAGCAATGTATGGGAGGTGCGGCGCTCTGGGTCACGCACACAAGGTGTTCGACGAAACAGTTGTGAGAGGAATTCACGATGTCATTTCGTGGAACTCCATTGTAGCTGCTTACACGCATGGTAAAGAATTCGGGAGAGCTATGGGGCTATTCGGTTCCATGATTTCAAGATGCAATATTGAACTTCGCCCTGACGTGATTAGTTTAGTTAATGTGCTACCAGCATGTGCTCCTACTAGGGAATGGAAGCTAGGCAAACAAGTCCATGGATATGCTATTCATTCCGGTTTATACGAGGATGTTTTTGTGGGTAATGCCATCGTGGACATGTATGCCAAGTGTGAGCAAATGAATGAGGCCAACAAAGTGTTTGAGCGTATGGAGGTGAAAGATGTGGTTTCTTGGAATGCAATGGTCACTGGGTTCTCCCAGATTGGGAAATTCAACGAGGCGTTAGGATTGTTTGAAAGAATGAGACAACAAGAGATTGATTTGAATGTTATCACGTGGAGTGCTGTAATTGCAGGGTATGCCCAGAGGGGCCTTGGATATGAAGCTCTTAACGTCTTCCGGGAAATGATCCTTTCTGGGACAAACCCTAACGTTGTCACCCTTTCCTCTGTTCTATCTGGTTGTGCTTCTGTCGGAGCATTGAATCAAGGGAAAGAGACTCATTGCTATGCCATCAAACAGATTTTGAGTCAGCAGGGGGATAATGAGTCCGACGAGGATTACAAAATGGGCATTAATAGTCTTATAGATATGTATGCAAAGTGCAAGAATGTAGAGGTGGCGCGTGCCATCTTTGACAATATTGAATGGAGAGACCGTAATATAGTGACTTGGACCGTCATGATTGGTGCATACGCCCAGCACGGAGATGCCAACGAGGCATTGAAACTCTTCTCATTGATGATGAAGGAAAATCGTTCCTTTTTAATACCGAACGGGTTCACGTTATCTTGTGCTTTGATGGCTTCTGCCCGTTTGTCTTCTCTCAGGGCTGGCAAGCAGATTCATGGGTACATTTTGCGCAACCAGTGTGAAACTTGGATGTTGTTTGTGTCTAATTGTCTCATTGACATGTACGCAAAAGCTGGTGACATTGATACAGCGAGAACAGTGTTTGATACCATGGCCCTCAGGAACACTGTTTCTTGGACCTCACTGATGACAGGATATGGAATGCACGGCCGGGGAGAGGATGCTCTTCGTGTGTTTGAAACAATGCAGCAGAGAGACCTGGAGATCGACGGTGTGACTTTTTTGGTCGTGTTGTATGCATGCAGCCATTCAGGCATGGTTGACAATGGGATGGATTACTTCAACAACATGAGGAGAGATCACGGAGTCGTTCCTGAGATTGAACATTATGCCTGCATGGTTGACCTTTTGGGACGTGCCGGTCGTTTGGATGAAGCACTGGAGCTGATACGCAACATGCCCATGGACCCCACCTCAATAATTTGGTTCTCTTTGCTTAGTGCTTGCAGGTACAGTTCATTCATTCATTCATTCATATTCTTTCCAGAATTTCTATGATACCCTAGAAATTTGGATGAGTTTTGGTACACACTTGTTTCTTTGATTGGTTAGGAAGATGAAATGAGGAGGGGAAATGGGAAAAGATGTTTCTTTGATTGGTTAGGAAGATGAAATGAGGAGGGGAAATGGGGAAAAAGTTTCTCTTGTATTTTCTCAATTGTATCTAACAACCAGAAGTTCACAAATATTTGGTCAAGAATAAACAACGACGCTAAAACCTTCTGTTGTACTCCGTATATCTTTATTAAAATAGAAACTTATATTTGTATTTTTATCCTTTATTATTCAAATATTCTCAACAATAATAAAAATGAAAATGGGTATCAACATTTGAAATTATGCACTCTTTTTTTTGCTCCTTGGTGAGGAAGTGTCCAAACTCCAAATGCAAAAATGATTGAATACTCTTATGGACTGTTTGGGAATTTGGATTTTGATTTCAAATCCAGATTTGACTCAAATTACATGTTTAGGAATCCAAAAATTCTAGATTTGGTTTTGTGCCGTATTCCTCTAATTATCAATTTCATATCTATACATTCCCCCTTATAATGTGAAATTCAAGAATTCAAATTTTAGAATTGAAATCTAAGATGCCATCAAATGGAATCTAAGTTTTCAAACACTACCATAAGGTATTCAAATCTCAGAACACAATCTTATTGGGACAATGGGACCCTTATTCTTTATTTTTGAATTTGTATTGTGCTGTACAAATTCAACTCAAGAATCGAAACTATGCAATCCTCTTACATCTCTCTATTTGCAGGGTTCATAAGAACGTAGACATTGCAGAACACGCAGCAGGCAAACTGTCAGAGTTGGAAGCAGAGAATGACGGGTCCTACACGCTACTTTCAAACATATACGCGAACGCCAAACGTTGGAAAGACGTGGCCCGCGTAAGGTCTCTAATGAAACACTCTGGGATCAAGAAGAGACCCGGGTGCAGTTGGGTTCAAGGAAAGAAAGGGACTTCAGTGTTCTTTGTGGGAGACAGAAGTCACCCAATGTCTCATGAAACATACAATCTCCTCTCCGACTTGATCAGTCGTGTCAAAGGGATGGGATATGTCCCAGAAATTAGCTTTGCCCTACACGATGTGGATGATGAAGAGAAAGGGGACCTGCTCTCGGAACACAGCGAGAAGTTGGCATTGGCTTATGGGATTCTCACATCTGCCCCTGGGGTGCCGATTAGGATAACGAAGAACCTCCGTGTTTGTGGGGATTGTCATTTGGCCATTACGTATATTTCTAAGATCGTTGATCATGAAATCATTTTGAGAGATTCGAGCCGTTTCCATCATTTCAAGAACGGATCTTGCTCCTGCAAAGGATATTGGTAGTCAGGTCAGGTGATGCTCTGCTTTTGTGCTCTTTGTTTTTTTAAAAAAATTTACTCATACTCCTCTGTCTTTGCAAGAATCTTAGAGTATTTAGTTTTACGGAAATTAAGAAAAATGTTGGAAAAGATGATGAAAAGTGAAAAAAATGTATAGTTGAAATTTATATCCTCTTTGGCCTCCCTATTGAAATTTAAATGAAGAAAAGAATGAAGTACTTGATGCAATGCCTAAAAGTATAGAACTCTACCATTTATTTTGAAACATTACGTTATATGTATCTAATCTTCTATCACTGTGGGAACGTAGGATTTTATTGGGTTGTTGTGCGAACGAGCATGTCGAAACTTATCGAGCAACATTCATTTGAATGTTTAGGCTTAAACATTCAAATGTTTGCACTGGTTAAACATTTGAATGATTGTTTGTGCGAGTCGTTGCTTCTAATCGCAAAACATTTGAATGTATGCCTCCTTTTGCAAAAGGTGTGGGTAGTTATGGCTAACATTTGTGTATATTAATGTTATCGTCCGAACTAAGTATATATAATTACATAAAAGTCTATGACATGCACTAAAATTACCAATAACATCTTGTTTAATATAATACATACTCCCCTTTATCCCAATTTAAATAGCCTGTTTTGGTTTATGATGCTTGATTAAAGTTATTTTCAAATCATTTTATATAAAAATGTTATAGAATTAAAAAAAGACATATTTAACTACATCAAAAGATCTACAAAACTAATGGTGATAGACTATATTACTTTATCAAATGACTAGCGAAAATGAAAAAAGAAAGCTAATGATGTTTGGTCATGTAAATTGTAAACGGACAACTTAATTAGGGACGCAGGGAGTGGTATTTTCTTTGCGGAAAAGTATTAACATTAGCAGCATTTATTATTTGTTACTTCTTCCGTCCCATAATATAGCGCTTATTTTGACTTTAGGCCATATTTAAGGAGAAAATTAAGGTTGACTTTCCCAATATGCCCCTAACTTAATTTTTTAAATATTAGAAGCTAAAAATGAAATAATGAACAAACCAAAAAATCACAAACATATTCATACACATACACGCATATCACAATAAAATATCCAAACAAATCATTACATTAACCAAATCCATCACCTAATCTAAGTACACATCCAATCAAAGTCTTGGAGGGAAAAAATTCCCTCCATTACACCAAAAATAAAACTGCCAAATCTATAAAAGGAAAACAACACTCCTTCAACTCCAGCCGAACAGCCCCGGGATCATCCATTGCGAAATCCCAAAATATGGAAAATTCATTGCCCTCCTTCAACTCCAGCCAAACAGCCCTTGGATCATCTTCAAGCCTTCATCCACTTCAAGGAAATTCCCATGCTGCACCTGTCAAAGAAGAAGAAGAAGAAGAAGAAGAAGAATCCACAACATAGGTGCATACAACAAGGGCAACTATAAAGCCACAGAAATGCTATCAAATCTTTCCTCACATAAGAGAAGAGAACAGTCAAACTGAGAAGAAAGTTGTAGGACGGAGGAAGTATTATTGTGGGAGAAGTCTTTTATTCTTTTGCATATGCTTAGCACGTGCACATTATATAAAAACAATGCATCCACATTTAAAAGTTATATACTGTTTAGTGAAATAAAATATAGTGCACAATTATCTTTGTCAAAATGTTAAAACAGACTAAGGTAAAACTTTTGAAACATTGACTAAAACACATTTTAGAGAAACATAGTTAACTGACATTTTAAAATTACAAAGGGAATTGTAAGTTAATTAATTTGTGATAATCTATGTTCACTGGTAACTAAAATTTATCTCGAGGACATAGTTTTTTTGACAAACTTTCACATTAATGAAATTTTTGAAAAATGTCTGTTTTTTGCAATAAATGAAAGGTGGGATTATTTTAAGTAAATTCTCTTTTTTCTTTTTTTTATTTCTAACTCTAAATTTAAACGTATTTTTAACTTTTTTTGGAAAAATAATTCCAAATTTAAGTATTTTTAGATTGGAACTAATTTTTTTTCAATAATTGATAATATGGTAATAATTAAAAAATAAATTATTCTACACAATAAAGCTAATTTATTTACTTCATCACTCACTACATTTTCTGTAAGTTGCAATTATTTTTCTTGAGCGGAACTTCGAATTGTTTTTCGAAACTATATTATTATTATTATTATTTCTTAAAAAATGGCACTATAAAACTTGTGAATATTTTTCAATAATTCTATATAAATATTTTTTGTGAAACAACATTACAATAATTGTGAAAATAACACAACAATTTTGTCTCTGAACAACACTAATTGATAATCTTCTATTGCCTACATTATTTTTTTCTAAAATGAAACTACCTAGCTAATTTTTGATTTTTTGATAATTTAGTACAAATTTTTCTCCAAAATAGTAATTCAAAAGTTGAGAAAATGGCACAATATTTTTTTCTCCAAAACGGCACTAATAAATTTTATAAGTCACTACAATTTTTTGTATTGCAATTTCTTTATTGATCGAAACTCTGAATTATTTCTTATAATTTAGTATTATATTTTTCTAGAACAGAAAACAAAATTTATAAATCGTTAGACGAATCCCTAACAAGAGTGTACTGCTATATTTTGAAAAAAATATTAATTTTAAATTTAAAATTAAAAAAAGTAGAAAGTAAATTTTCCTAAAATAATCTCAACTTTCATTTATTTTTAAAAAACATGTATTTTCTAAAAAAAATTCATTGAGTGGTCGTTAGTTTTTTAACGGTTAACCAAAACTCACACATGCAAAAAGATGATATTATTTCCAGTGACAGTGAAATTAATATTTTTTTAAAATCTTGAAAAGATGAGATTATTTGAGATAATTTTCTTAAAAATAATGAAAAAAGAATAAAGGAGGTGGCTTACCCAACGGCGGCACCTCAATATTATACTCCGTACTATTGCGTGTTATTCCACACCGGCTTTATATCATAATTCTTCCTCGTTTATAAACACGGAGCAAATTTGTTAAACTGTTGTTGGATTCATCTCATCATTTATTTCTGCGTCTACTAGTGTCTCCCTTCTATGCAATGATTTAAAGATGATTTAAATTTCATCAAAAGTGAGACACTTTCTGAAGTAGAAATACAAGATAAGTCTAAAAAGTTTAGAATTTTTTTCTAAAATTTGTTGCACTTAAGTTACTAGTATTTTGACCCGTGCCACGCACGGGATCGAATGAAATTTTGTGGATTTTGAAATTTTTCAATGCAATATTTTTTCTGGAATAAAGAAAAAGAGTAAATTTCATAATTGGTTCTTTATAACATGAGGGTTTCCCTATTTAGTCTTCTATTGGGCCTGTTTGGGAATAACTTTAGCGATTACCGTTAGCGTTTTGAAAAGGCTATCGACGGGTAGCGTTTTCAAAGTAATCTGCACCGTTAAAATTTTATCCAAAACGCTAATGCTAATCTCTAACGTTATTCCCAAACAGGCCCATAATCAAATATCACTCTAGTGGTCCTTCTTTTATGGGTATCTTTCCACAAATAGTCTTTTTTTATCTTCTATCATGTTAGAGTTAATTTGAGGGCTAAAAGTGTAATTTCACAATGATAATATATCTTTTTGTCATACACAATTCCAAAGGTTGTTCCATTTGCGTCGTTTGTGAATTACGTTCGCTTTTTACTACAACCAAAGTCTACAAATGTGGTCTTCCATCAGAATTCTAGCCCACAATCATAGTCATTATTTATGTGTTATCCGATTAACCAATATTAGAATATGTCACTCATAATGTTGATGTCAAATTATACTTTTAGCCTTTAAATTAACACCCATATGGCGGAAGATCAAAAAAGGACCATTTGTGAAAAAGACATCCTTAAAAAAAGGACTACGAATGTAATATTTAATAATAGAGAACTAAATATAGAAACTCCCATGTTATAAAGGACCAATTATGGAATTTACTCTAAAGGAAATATACTTCTCACATGATTTTTAATACCATAGACCAAAAACCTAATAAGTAGAATAAATAACATTTGAGGATTTGAATATGTACACAACAAAGTTCATTTTAATACCAAATTTTTTGAAAGACTTCAAGGCATACAACATTTTAATCCTGTTTTTGTCTCCACTCACGGAACAGCAACATAAAGCTAATCATGTGTGAACATCGACTTGATTAAAAATAATCTAACAAATGATAATATGTGCTACTACCCGGAAGAATTTAATATGTTGCACTTCTTGTGACACTTTTAGTTCCCTTTGGGTGTAAAAATAGGTTGTTGCTCCTCCAATCCCATTGAGCAAGTCAATGTGGTGAGTGTGACAGTGTAATAGTGACAGTGTAAACTCCTATTTTGGTCTTAAAAGACTTATGACTCCTATTTTGATATTTTCATAGTTTGTTTACTCATATTTAGGGAGTACTCCCAATCATCTTCATTGAAACTTGAAAGAAATTCTTGCATGAGATGATATTAATAATAGTTTTGGAATAACAACTTCACTCATGTGCTTTCTAGATATTATTTTTCCTTGTATTGAAAATGATTACATAAACCCATTGAATAATCAATATTTCTTAGCAACATAATAGGGACATAATAGGGATGCCTACCTTTAACATAAAAAACATATGACTTGCTCCATGGGATTGGAGGAGCAACAACCTATTTATACACCCAAAGGGAAATGAAAATGTCACCCGAAGCGCAACACATTAAATTCTTCCGGGTAGTAGCACATATTAGCATTGGTTAGATTATTTTTAATCAAGTTGGTGTTCACACATGGTCAGCTTTATGTTGCTGTTTTGCCAGAGAATACAAAGACAAGATTAAAAATATTAGTCTTGGATAAAAATGAAAACTCTTTAAATCGTACAAAAAAATGTTGTATACCTTGAAGTCTTTCAAAAAATTTGGTATTAAAATAAATTTTCATGTAAATATATAAATTACTCGTGTCGATTGTTAATGTTAATTTAATTCCATATTAGGGTTGGTTATTGATGTTTATATTTTTAGGTTTTTTTAAAGTTTATAATATGGTTTAGAATATTTAATAGTTATGAAAAATAAATTTAATGGACTAATCAATTATTCGCATTTATATGTTTATGAATTTTTTGATATCACGTGTACTTATATAAATAAAGTGAAGTACCTAAGAAAGTTCGCTTTATTCGGTTTAGTTCGGTTTTCCGAAGTGAA